GATCGAGTACGTTACCCGGCGCGCGAGGCCGTGGAAGTGATCCAGGAACGACGACGCTTGGTCCTTCCCGACGCTTGTGAATTGATGGCGGCCGCGCGTAAAGGTCGGCAGCGTCAAGATGCGCTGCAGATCGGCGAGCACCGTCCGCAAGAGTTGCTTGGTGGTAAGAGCATGCTGCACAGGCAGCTTGGCCCGTTCGTTCTTGCCCCAGTCCCACATGGCGTGCGCCACGAGCACATTGCAGCTCAACGCTTTGACTAGACACCACATCGCGTAAATCCGCGACGTTCTTCTGTGGGATCATCTAATACCTTCTGCGAGGAGGTCCAGCGCGAGCTCGCGGCGGGTAAACGCTTGTCGGATTTGCATAATCTACTCTCGGCTCCTCAAACATGACGCCCTCGGCATGTACTGCTACCATGGGCGAGACGACGGCGAACGAGACGATGGTCCACGAGAGATTCGCGGCAAACGACGGTCCGTCCGTTGCCACGTGCGCGTGAAAGTAGGCGCTCGTCGAGACGATCGAGAGGCCGACGACGAGCACCTACACCATCGCTCTCATATGTACGATGCGATAAGAGCGTAGTACGGTTTCCAGCGAGAGCAAGTGCAGCGAGAGGATGATCGCGGCTGCGTACAAGTCCAAGCACACGTCGCGGCAGTGGGTCCAGACGGCGCCGCTGCCGACGGCGAGGAGCGACCGGTCCTCGGTGCCGGCAAAGGCGTCGAGCGTTTGCTCGAGTGGGAGGTCGTCAAATGTTGCGTACATATGGGCCACGAGCGGGTCGTTGACCTCCTCGTCCTCATCCAAGACGGTCGTCGACGCATGGAGCAATGCTTGCATCGTGCGACGATTGCAAGGCGTTACAGAGTACTATACTATACGGCCAGTCGGATCTCGGACCAAGAAGACTAATAGATGCTATTTTCTTGGAGCCACCATCAGACCGATTGCGTATTGTTGAGGGTCAAAGGAAGACGGATTGCTTATCTCTTGGAGCTATTAGAAGACCGATTGCTTCTTTAAGTTTTAGCGCTAGACTCTATTCGTCCGTGGGCGCGACCCAGCCGTCAATGGTCTGGACGATGAGCGGCAGCACCGTATCAATCGAGGCTTGGCTGCGACTGTACAGCGTGACTTGGACTTGGAACGAGCGCTTCTCGACGTCAATGTGGTCCTCTAACAGCACGCAACGTTGCTCAAAGAAAGCGCGCTCGCGGGTTGTACCTTTGGTGTTGACGTAGCTGCCAATCATGACGGACGGGTACTCGTTCTGGATCTTCTTGAGGCCCGCGGCGATGGCGCCTTCAAAGAGGTGCGTCCGCGCCTGCATCGAGCCGTCGAGCTTGCGTCATCTTCATGGTTGCGTACCTTGGCTTGCAAGATCGGAACGCCCTTGAAATGGTCTTCGTTGGACTCGATCATTTGATGCAAGAGACGCGGAATGCCCGGGAGGATGTACACATTCTCAACGGCGACGATCGGCACCTAGGACATGTTATCTGTTAGCAAACAAACAAACAAAACTCGCTTCTTGACATACCCACGTCGACGTCTTTAGCACGTTGGCTCCTAGTACACCAGCCATTGCGCATGAGCAACGGACGAGACAGGATGGCAACGGTGGTGGACAAACAGACCTTTCGGAAATGTGACCATACGCAGACGATCTTCGTTAAGTTCTTGGCCCTTGGCTTCGAGGAAGCGCTTGAGGTCGTCGCGCGTAGGGCCATGCACTTCCATGGGCATACGAAAGGCGGCGGCCTAATGCCACCATCATTTCTGTGGGCATGGGCGTGCAATGATGGGAAAGTGCGTACGATGCTTTCGTACGTGATGTCGTCGTGCGTCGGGCCAATGCCACCTATACAAACGTATGAGATGTAGCAGCTCTTGTGTGGCCAAGAGGAGTACCCGACGTGAACACGTAGCCCGTCGGCCCCACGAGCTTGGCGAACGACTGCACCGTCTCGGCAATCACCTAGTACGTCCTTGCCGCATGAGCTTACGTGTACCCGCCTTCAAGGAGCCT